AAAAAAAAAAAAAAAAAAAAAAAAAAAAAAAAAAACGGATAATAAAAATAGGTTTAAAAAGGAATTCTTTACCTTAAGAACGACGAGAAAGCAAACTACATGCGGCAGGTATTGGTTGCGGATGTGAACGAGAGGTCTGTGCAGGAGATGGAGACGGATTATATGAGCCTGTAGAACTATTTGATGACTGCGGCATCATTGGTGATGGGGTTTCAGCGCTGTACATAGGCGGCGTCAGTGAGTTAGCAGGGAATCCATCAGAACGCATTATTTGAGCCATATCTTCCCAAAACTCACCATCGTGAGGATCTGGTATAATGCTATACGATCCAAGAACCAAATTGTCGCTAACTTTGCTTCCTGAAACTTAGTTGGAATGATAGCATTAAAGTGGCAAAAATTATACATTTCTCCTCGCAGCAAAATCCCTGATTTATTTTCCAACTAAAAGTACCATTGCCCAATAACGAAAAAGATCACGAAAGGTGAAAGAGTAGAAAACTAATATATACCAGTATCGTTAATATCAACCGAAAAAAAGCGAAACCAAGGAAATATATTATAAATATGAAGAAAAGGCAATTTCGAAATTTCTGCCTCTAGCTTAAACCAAAAATATTTGCTGACAATCAAAAAAAATAAAAGTGTAATAATTGCGCAGAAAATTCATTACCAGCTCTGGACAGTTTCAACAGTAAAACTTGCATGAAAACTAAGAATTTAAAACAATAGTCAGAATAAACAATAAGCACAAAATCTTTTCTATAACACCAACCTGCTGATCGGTCATGCAGCAACACTGAGGGATCCTCACCTTCCGATGGCAAGTCAGCTAGCATTGTATCGACATCAGGAAAGCCAAAATCTTTGGCGACGGAGTCAAACATATCGACGTCGGACACTAAACAGCGAGAAATACATCCATTGCGTCGGTAAAAGTCAACCAAGACTTTGACTTACGAAAAGTTATAATATCTACAAAACGCCAAAAAAAGTAACGTCTTAGGAACCTTCAGTATCACCGAAATCCGCTGGCTGTCCAAATTCATTACGCTGGTCCAAAGTGGTAAAAGCATCGTTATATGACAACGACATTGGGTCATGCGGAACAAAGCCAAACGGCGGCAAACCACCACCAGATTCAATAGGTGAGTCATTTAAAGGATTCAATGGAAGCAAGCCAGGGTCATGTCTTACAGAATCAACTACAGATGGCACAGTTGCATCTGTATTGCAAAGCGACATTTCGTAATGCTGCCGACAAACACCTAGGAAAGAATCTAACAATGCGGAAAATCTAAATGGAGCAAAAACATCAGGTGTATTTCAAATTCTCAAAGAATTCTCCAACAGTATGACTGTCATTTTGAAAATAACTTATTAAAATAAGAAGATTTAAAGATAATTAGATTTTTTCAACGAACATTTGTGCTTCTGATCAATATTATTCAAAATACGCTGTTATAAATTTTTGCCCATTACCACCGCCTTCTCAGAACATTCATTGCAACCACCAAAAAATGCATAGCAACATCTGAACTACGTTTTAAAAAAAAGCAAGAATTGTTTCCGGTTAAGCAGGACCATATACTATACCCGCCAAAAACCCCTGACTGGTTACTGAAATTTCAACCAATATTCTCCAAAAAACTGCTGAATGCCACTAAAAACCCAAGCGAATTATATCCTATTTTGTAAAACTTCTCAAAAACATTGCTTTTACCACTCGCAATTAAGAAGAAAAAACTACAGAATATCAGCAAACAAACTAACCATTTGTTATTAAAGCATCGACACACAAAACGGGTTCGCTGCAGCAACTTTCAGAGCAATATGAAAAAAGTTTCTGGTCGATATTATACAAAATATGCCGCTTACAATGGTTGCTCATCGGCACTGCATTCTCAGAACATCTAGTGCAACCATCAGAAAACGTATAACAACATCTAAACTATTTTAAAATAAATTTATTTGTATATGAAAAACTGTAACAACAGCATAATTCAACTGAAAAAATTAAACTCTAAAAATTTAAAGAGGAAAAGCTAAGAAAAAAATATAGAACTGGTCCAATGGTCATACTAGAAAACTTTTAATCTAATAAAATAACGAATGTATAATAATGAAATTGGAGCAAAATGTGCACAAGTTGACATGAAAGATTTATGAAATGATTAGTGTACCGTCGGTTACGATCACGTGGAAAAACGCAGGTACGAGAGCCCCGATGGGACAGCACTAATCCAACGCTATTAGGATATTGTTTCGCAGCCATCATTACGAAAGCATTAATCTGTGCTTCTCTTGTCAAAAGACTACGATCCAATCTGAAAAAAATAACTGAACTGACGGATCTCTGAGCTAAGTATGCAACTTTTGCAAATAAACTATTTAAATAATATGAAAGTTTATGTCCAAAAAATGAACTGACGAACCATTTCCTGAAACCAATTCCTTTATGTTCCATAATTTTTAAGAAATTCATTAAGTATTGAACTAAATAACGACTAGAAAGCAAATAAATAAAGATGAGGCAGCAAGAAAGTCGAAGTGACCTTAGTCGTTTTTTAAGAAGATAGACTTCAGGAGCAGTGTTCTCTGCACTGTCAAACATTTGCCGCTTGAGCGCAGATGACTCACGTTCCATTTCATTGTCGGAGTCCTCGTCATCAGATGGTTCAAGTCCTAAAAAACTCATTAAAAAATAAATAACAAAAAAAAGCAACTGTTGCTGATTTCTACAGACAAATTGAAGAAAAATCCCATTTCTGAAGAAAAAAAGTAGCAAAAAATTACCACAAGGGAATAAGTCCATGTTTTCACAGTCATAGTCATCTAACAAATCGCAAAGCTTGTTAACACTAGGTATGCTTCGATACAAACCAAGCATGTTCGTGCGGTGACGCTTCTGCTTTAATTGAATAAGTGCCTAGACAATCAAAAGTGAAATGGCTGTAACGGAGCTAAGTCGTAAATGAAACACCAATTCTCATGCGCCATACATACCGGCTTCGTTTGAGCTTGGGAAAATTCTGCTTTTTCATCTTCTTCGTCATCATCATCTAGACCTTCTATGGAATAATACTTCTTGCTTGGGAAAATTGAAGGCCTCAAAATTTGAGGAGCGTAGGGTAAATTAGCATTTGGTGGCACTGCAGTCACTGGAAGATCCGGTCGAGGTGTTAAGGTGGCAGGAGCTGAAGCTGGAGGTACCACTGGATATACACTCTGCTGTGGAGCTGGTGACGACTGCTAAAGCAAAACAAAATAATGAGCATAACACTGGTCTTCATCAATACATATTATTACTGCATAGAACTGATACTAAATTTACAAGTAATCAGACCGCACCACAAGAAGTTTCGCTAACAGCTGATGTTGTTTGGATAAACTAGGAGCCTGTGGCGCCCCACTGTACGAGTGAGTTGGCTGCTGCAGACTATGAGGCGCAAGCCCAGGCCCCTGTCCACAAATCATAACTGATTTTTGTTGTAGCGAAGAAGACATCGAAGAACAAGAAGATTCATCAACTATCTAAACAAATTATGAATGCTACATAAAGTCTTTCAATCTGCATCATACTTCAAAACTTTTTAGAGAAACTGAAACAGAAGACCTAAGGCGAAAAGCAAACTTTTACTTGACTAGAAGTCCCGAGGTTAGACGAAGGTTTTTCAAACACAGAAGGTAGACTAGATGATGTACGCATTGGTTGTGAAAAAGATCGTTGTACAATAGAAGGCCTGTAATTATTCCCAGCAAAAGTTTCTTGACTCCTAAATGGTTCCTGAGAAGAGGCAGATGGAGGTGGAGGAGGAGGGGGAGGAGGAGGGGGGGGAGGAGGAGGAGGAGGCGGTGGTGGTGGAGGAGGAGGAGCAGTAGTGGCAACCGGCGTTACAACTTCCTCCACTCGAGAAGGCTCAGCTACGTTATCAAAACCCCAACGTTCTCCATCGTTATCTGTAAAGAAGTATTAACAGTATAGATCTGAGATCTTTCCACAGAAAAAGAGTAATAAAATTAGGGTGCTTTTTGTTGATGAAATATCCGCTGTAATTAACAAAAAAACAAACAGTGTGACTGCTCAAAGTTCTCGATGGGTGGCAAAGATGTCGTTGGTTGCGAAGAGCTTTGAGCATCCTCACTGCTCCATGTCCCGCGCTGCCCATCGTTTTCAGCCCTGCCATCAGACTGCGTTACAACTGACTTCTTCTTTTTTGGCTCTTTCATACCATTCATGATCATATGAGTACTACAATAAATAGAAGACTCGCTATTCTTTATTGCATTCGTGCAATAGAGATTTTCGTCCTTCTTACCTATAAATATGTGACTTTGAGCATGAGGGAAAATCCACAATAAATTTTCGAAGCTTGAAGCTTACTTTTTGGCTTTCTTTTATGCTGACAGCGGCGATACGGTGCTTCTGGATCCATTAAGATATGCCTAATACAATACCTGTAGTTCAATATTGCTCGTTGTCGGCACTGAAAGAAAGAATATTAACTAAGGAAGACAGGATCAACCAGAGCCAGTTCAACAACTGCATTACAACCCAAATTTTTACAGACCTCTTTTCTCTCCCTTCCCAACGATTAAAAGTACAAAAAGACGGGTAGGACAAAAAAATATGGTGAAGAGAAAAATTTTACTCACGACGGTAGTAAAACAGTAATAACAGAAAGCTTCGAAAAAAAAAAACTTTAAATTATTCTAGTATCTTATCAACTAAATTACTGTCATCCACTGCACTTCACAGAAAGATTATATCATAAAACTTCCAAACTGACCTGTCCTTTACCGCCGGGGTCAACTTGTTCGCAAAAACGTGAAAGAGCTGTCGACCTATCTCTTCTTCGTTTCGTGTGAACGGCAGGTGAAGCCCCTTCATTGGACGATGGTGTCATCGGTTGGGTTGACACATCAGAACCACTAGCACGAGTATCCATATTACTCGCTTCTTCAAACGATGATATCGGCTCATCGCCGTATCCTAAAAAAATTGTTTGAAAACTAAGAAATATCAAAATCATATGCTCAAAGGTCTAAAAAAAAAGACGAATAGAAGGAAGACTGAAAAACGACCAGTTATTACCTGACCTACAAAAAAAACACAAATCTTTTGCATTAAATGAAATATACAGAATCCATTTCGTAACCTGAAGAAGAGGACGGGTGCTGATCATCACCATAAAGTGAAGGTGCAGCACTGGCACTCGGCGTTTGTGATTCACCTCCGTTAGAAATATGCTGAAGTCCGAGAAGCGATGACGACGTATCGCACACTGGGCTTGCATCAACTGTCGAACTACACAGGTCGTTTTGTTGATCGCCATTAACTTTTTCAGAACCATTCTGAAAATTTATTGCCTTGACCTTGAAAAGCTCCCACAGTTCC